AAAAAAAAATGCAACCACTTGGTAACGCCTTACTTCGTCTAATGAAATGCAGGCGGAAAACTGAACGAAAAGATATCTTAACTATACCACTTGGTCAGAATATGACTTAGTCGATAAAAGTATCCCTGTATTACCTCCACTGGTCCGTAGTTATCGACTGTGCTTCTTTCTCGATTTAAATAGGCAAAAATGACACCCGAGTGAGCTCATGAGTTTTGCGAAAAATAATACAATTTTGTTGACTGGCCCTCCCACGATGTGGTATATTACTTGAATACGGTTACCAACCTATTTACCGTAGAAGGATTTGCTGAGCAAAACAAAACACGTCAACATGTACGCATGAGCCCTCAATGCGAGCACCCACCTCGTTGGTCAAATACTTGCGGGCATATGATATTTCCTACGCATAAAGCAAACGTTATCCAGTACTCCTCAAGCCTCGCGGCCTAGACGGTTGACACTAGGAGTCCGTGTGGCTTAGTTTATTTTCCTCTGTGAATGTAGCCTTTCGACGGAAAAGTTAGTTAAGAAATGACGCAGTTACGCAGATTCACATGCAAGTCTAGCTACATGGATCGATGTATCAACCAATCCTTTGACGGCCGCAGGTACTTGTATTCCATATTATTGCATACAGATACCTTTTAAGTATTTGCATCTATGCAGTCTGAAAGATTTCAGTTGCAGTTCGGCTCTTATTCTACTACTCCCACACTTTCTTCCTCAATTTGGAAATTGACGAGACTTAGTAGTTGATTAAGTAATTGAAATTTTCTGTCCACATGAAGTTCACACTGTTTTCAACCTTTGGACAAGGTGTCATCCAACGTGCCATCTCAGAAAATGTCTCCGACCTTTGACTTTGTAGAACAGCGTTACAGTTTTCTTAGTCAAGAAAAAAATACGTAAATAATTGACCAATACATTTGTTTTAGATTTATTTTGCTTCTATTAGACTTGCGTTTTATGTCGTAAAGGCGTTATATCTGTGCAAAGTCGATTAGTAAACATTACCACACTCAAATAAAAATCTGGTTCGCGCAAGAAAACTAGTTATTAAAACTGAAAACACTCCTACTATGACTGAAATCGTTTTCTGTTAAAGGTCTCAACTCGGGTCTATCAGAGTACCAACGGGCAACCGTTTAAGTCTTGAAGTTGCTTTACAAGAAACCATTTGGCACAATTCATTTCGTGTCATATTCATAAGTAGAGTAAGCTGAGAACTCACTCTCGAAGTAATATCCCTCCCTTGTCATGGAACACTAAGTGTAGGGCTAAGAGCATGCTGATAGATGGCTACTTTCTATTAATTCCCATAATCTAACTAAACCAAAGCGATTGTGGACAGGGTTGTTTATTTTTCATTTGCTCAACCGCTGAGCTATAGTCTTTAATGTGAAGCAGGGCGTTTGAGTTTATCTCGTGACATAAACGTATTTATTTTCTGTAAAATACATCTGGAGTCCTTGGAATTTTTTTTTTCATAGATCATGAAATGTACGTTTTATGAGAATAATCTTTTTCTCTTTCGCCTGGAATGTCAACTATCAAAAGCCATGCCTTTCACTAACGTCTCTCGTTATTAGAAGCAGCCATTTCTTCCTTCACATGTTTGACCCCACCGGCCTATCGGGTTGTGATCTGTATTGTTTATCCCTTTTCCTTGCCGTTTTAGACAGTCATCGTCGAATAATTATTGGCGCGCGTGTGAGGCCATTCACGGCTAGGTAAGATCCTATGTCTTCTCTGTGACCTAAAATATTAGGGAATTACAGTCACGGAACAACGAGTTGGCTGTCGAAATTCCCGAGCCGGGGCTTATAAAATGCACAAAGCCCACCTTTTGCGGTGTTGCGCCGCCTGTTTTCTTCAGAGTGGAGCACACGTTTTCCTCGGTTTCGGAGGAAGAGGGCGACATGAATCTGGAACAGCTGGAAGTTTACGAAAAACTTGGCCGTCGCATCCTCATGAGTGCCCTCGAGGGCTACAACGCTTGCCTTTTTGCCTACGGCGTAACTTCATCAGGCAAGACATATAGGTAGGCTCCAGTCCCTCATCTTTCAAATTGCCTTTCAGTATGTTCGGGTCTCCGGAAAATCCAGGCATTATCCCTCGCCTGGTTGAAGACCTTTTTGACAAAGTCAGCCGTAAGAAGGTAGGATGACACCATTACTGATCTAATCTGAATTCTTCCTACCACAGAGACCAAATTGTCGGACAACGGTGCAACTGAGTTTTTTTGAGATCTACAAAGAAAAGTTGATCGATTTGCTACAACCCAAAAGTTCAACTCGACCGGTAATTTTTACCTTGCAGTTACAATGTTTGAATTCTGTTAACAGGGACTCTTCCATTACTGTTCTGAATTAAACGTCTGACTAAGTTTATGTACAACTTCTAACGCTAAGATAACCTTTCTGTTCTATATATATTTTTAAAGAGCAAGATGCCATGAAAGAAGCATAGTAAAACCATTCCTTTTATAAAAACTTATTGAGGGATTTAGATGTTAACAAAGTTGCTGTCTTCGCGGATGCGAGCTTAGTA